CCTCGTTTCAGGCCGAGGGGATGGGGGACCCAGAGGAGCGCGGGCTCCTCGGAGACCTGGGCCCGGGTGCCAGCACTGGCCTTCTTAGCTGTTGTGCTGCCGAGGCGGTGGGGTCTCTGCCTCCGTTTCTCCTGCATTCTTTCGCTTACTCAGCGCGGGCCGGGCTGGGTCTACAGCAGGGAGCTGGGTGCTCGTCTCCCAGAAGTGACAGGCAGGTGTACAGAGCAGTCAGATTTCACAGAGAAGGCAAAACGCCGTGGGGGGGGAGGTCTTGGAGGAGCCAGATGCACCAGGCGCAGGGAAGGAGCCATCTGGGTCCAGGGGCAGCAAGTGCAAAGGCCTGGGGGCAGCAAGGAGGAGTGGGAGGAACGCTTGGAAGCCAGCGTGTGATTCTTCTCCATCCCAGAAAGCTTCTAAAATGACCTCAGGGGACCGTGCAGAGACACAGCCTGGAAGACGGACAGAGTGAGCACGGAGCTGAGGCAGTGATGGCACAGGACGTGGGGGGGGGCCAGGGCAGGTGCTCGATGAGATGGGGTCCTGGATCCCCTCCCACTCCACGCTGCTGGTGCCAGAGGTGGATCCCTGGGCAGGGTAGGCTCTCTGGACTGGGGTTGCCTGCACGGCTGGGGCTGTGAGCCCTGTCCCGAGAACAGGGGTCAGGTGAGCCTGAGCCCCCCCATGTGGCTCCCGGAGCACCGGCAGCTCCCGATGGTGGGCCTGGGTGGCTCCCCAGGTCCCCACCCAGAAAATGACAGGCAGCTGCACTGCGGCCAGGGCCCCAGGTGTAAACGAGAGCCACAGCCAAGTGTGCCCAGTTGTCTGAGCAAGACGACTACTGTGAGAGGCCAGCACGGACAGCCAGGAAGAGATGGCCACTGTTGGGATGGGTGGTGGCGTTTGGTCCTGTTCTCCCAGGAGGGAGAAGCTGTTGGAACTGGGGCTGGGTGCCGTGGAAAGGGAATGCTCAGTGACAAGAAAGGGTGCTTGGGACGTAAAGGAGAGCCGCAGTGGGAGGTGCAGTGGTCAGCGCCAGCCACCCGTGACGAGGTGCTGCGGAGCTGCTCGTGTGCCCAAGGGTCAGCCGGCCTGGCTGATCTGCAGTGGTGGCAGACGCCTGAGGGCATGTGGGGCCACGAGACGCTTGGACCTGGGGCGCAGGGTCCCTGCCGTCTTGGCTGAGGTGCCTCCTGGGGAGCAGCTGCAGAGCCAAGCGGCCCACCACTCAGAGGGAGGCCGGAGGAGGGGGAGCCGGAAGGCCAGGATGTGGCTCCTGCTGCTGCGTCTCTGGAAAGAGAACAGAGGGGCACAAGAGGAAACGGGAGACGGTAAACAGTCCTGGAACTGAAGGTGTGTGTTTCCAGGGTGACGGCCTCCTGTGCCTGGACCAGTGGGACGCCTCTGGAGCTCGGCTCGAGGGCTGATTCCACAGGCCTCGGGCTCCCTGTGGCCCCACCAGCAAGGTGGCCGAGCGGTGCCTTCAGCATGCCGCAGGAAATTGACCTGTTCTAGAATTCTCTGTTTTGCCAGATTACTGAGGGGTGAGGGTGGAACAAAGCCATCTTTGGACTCGGAAGGTCGTGTGTGTACCGTATGTACCCTCCAAGTTAGCTGCTAGGTCTGCTCCGTCGCAGGGCAGCTGGGCGGATCCACCCGGGAGGAGCAGACGTGGGGCACGGGGAGCGGAGGGGGCCCCTTGGGGCAGCAGACGTTGGACGCAGGTGCCTCTGGGGCCCTCTGCTCAGGCTGTTCCCACCAAAATGAGGAGTGGCCCGGGGCAGCAAGGCCGGTGGCTCCTCAGCTGCCCGCACAGGGGAGCCTGGGTCACCGTGCGGTCACGATGGCCGAAGTTCCCCTGGCTCTCAGGCCACTGGCCAGGCGGCCGGGGCCTGCCTCTGGGGAGGGCACCAAGGTGCTGGGAACGCTGGTTCACACGAGCCTCTCAGGACTGGCTGACTTGGTAAGCTGGGCTTAAGATGTAAGGAATAGGACGGGTTGGGGGTGGCGGGGCAGTGGCAGAAGAGCAGGGTGACAACAGGAAGGAGGCAAGGGCCCTGGGGG